CGTAACAGATGCGCTCAAGACGCGTCGACCAATATGCCCTCTCCAGACGTCTGTCTAACATGGCTCTCTAACGTGAGAATTATCAATGAAACTTCTTTGTCGGCGGAGGACAGAGAGAAACGCACCGGCAGCTACCGCTTCCTCCCATCCCTCTTCAAATAGTTCTGGATTCGAGCTCGGGTTCGCAATGGACGCGGCAATTTTCGGCCGCTTCTTGCTTAGAAGATCGGCTTTCCAAGCCTCAACAGCTTTGGGCGCGTGGCTGAGGGCGACCAGAAGCAATCAAATCAAGAATGACATGTCATATATATAGTTTACGAACCTTGGAGCATATGTACGTGCAAACAGCGCTGCTTCCGGCGCACGTTGTGTTTTCACCAATAGATCGACACACGCGCCTGCATCACCAAGCTGGAAGCGTGTAGCGAAAGCCAAGTTGTTCTGCCCCTTCTCCTCTAACCAGCACAACAAACACGAGTTAACAAACACCACCATTCGTAAAGAAGGGGATCACGAACCAGCTTTCTGAGCCAGCGCCTGTAAGCCTGCCTTGTCACCAGTCGCCGTCAAGAGAAGCATCAGCGCGCTCAAATCATTTGCCTTGTCGAAGCATTCACGAGCGAGATCAAAGCGCCAAACCGTAAGTGCGCGGTCTCCTAGAGCTTTCCACTTCAGCCCAGCTTCAGTTTCAGGCACATCGCGCGCAATTTCCAGCGCCGTGTCGAGATCGTCTAGCTGAAGGGCGAGGTCGAACTTGTGGTCCGGATCTGTTGTCAGCTGGATCGCAAGCTCCTTTAGGTCTAGGTAAAATGTCAAGTCATCAACAACATAATTAAATCTCGAAAACGTGTTCGGATGACATACCTTTGCTTTCCAGGAACCGTGCAACCTTATTCAATTGGTCCTTTGGAAGGGTAGGAAGAATTTCGGCAGCTGCGTCCATGTCTCCACGCAACACAGCCGTTTGATACTCAACGATGCTGAGGGAAAGGGAATAGCTGAAGATGTGCATGTCTTTGTCGGCAAGATAAACGCGGTTGTGCACAGGCATGTATCCAAGGAGGAATAGGGGGCTATTCCAGGCATTGAGCGACATTATATGACTGAAAGAGAAAAAGCCTACGTGTCGAAGGGGCTAATGGTATAAGAGTCATTTCCAACGAAGTAGCAGAGACGGTTGTTCGAGGTGGTATAAATGAAGCAGTCGCCGACCCATTTGGCGGTCTTCACACTAAAACCAGGGCTGAGTGGGGTTCGAGGAACTTGTAAAAATAACGCACGTTTCGGAGACGTCAGCAATAACCTTAAATGCCTCCTCGACACCCTCGTCAGTGATCAGTGAACCTTCCTCAAGTTTGCTCTCGTATGCGTCACGGTCGAAACGGAGGATGTAGAATGAGTCTTCCGAAGCTATGGCAACTAACGACCCAGTTCCAGACCAGTATATCTATGGATTCATGATTCGGCAAGGGACTCTTGTAGTCGTTGAATGTACTTACATTCTTTGCATCCACATCAATCCGCCTGACAATCTCGCCAGACTCCCAATCCCAGAACATCACAAAGCCGGATCCGCGAGCGCCCAGTAGAGTTCCACCATGCAAACCATCAATTGCCCAGCTTCCTGACCCCTTCATTCCTGACCCCGGGCGCTCCTTGAAGTTCTTGTACACCTTCACCTTGACCTTGTTTTCAAGCACCGCGTAAGTGTTGGAGTCCGGCGCCCAAGCAAAAGAGATGCCGGTGCCAAACGCCTTGTTGCGCCAAGCGAGTGCAGTATAGATGATGTGCTCGCCATCGCCAACAACCGTCACGAAACGTCCATTGGGTGAATGCAGGAGCGACTGGGCAAAGATCTCGGTGGAACCAATCTCCTTGACGCTCAGCGGTAGTCGTGCACCGTCAGATTGCGATGAGGTTTCATCAGAGAGCAATTGAAGGTTTCCGGACAACACATCATGGTTCTTTGTGTAAACGAGCTTGCCAGAGGGATCCATGCTAAATGTGGGCTCGTCCCGTCCGAGCTTGATGACAACAACACCATCATCGTAACCGACCGCGATCTCGTTCGCATCTTTTCGCAGAGCAGTACACCAAGCACGTTCGAGGGCGTATGAGAGCGTGTTCTCGATACGGTACGTGCCGCTGTTCCAGATCTTGACTGTGCCGTCCTCACTTCCTGAGATGATGATTGGCAAGTTGGGATGGAAGATAGCAAAAGAGACATTGTTCGTATGCCCTTCCATCGTCTGAACACAACTCTTGCTCAGGTAGTCCCAGACTTTGACAGTTTTATCGTCACCGGTCGTAACAAGGTACGGCTTGTCTGCGCCAGGGTAAAAGTCAACATAATTCACGCCCTTGTCGTGTGCATCCATGGTGAAGTTCGCCGAGGGGGAGCCGATGGACCACATCTTGACGGTGCGATCGAGGCAGGCTGAAGCGAAGGTGTTGCCGTCTTTCGGGTTGAACGCCAGGTTCATGATATAATGTGTGTGGCCTTCGTAGACCTTAAAAAATATGAATACGACCTGAAAGTCATCGAAGGAACCCTCACCTGAATGTTCTTCCAATTCTTTTCCCAATCCCAAGCCTTGATTGTCATGTCGTCACTTCCGGTTAGCACGATGCTCGCCGTGGGATGCACTGTCAAGCATCTAATGTAATCTGGGTGGGCTTCGAATGACGCGACCTTCTCCATCGTGTTGTAATTGAAGACGCGCAGTTGGAAGTCATCCGATCCTGCCACAAACCAGTTCTTCCGCGCGATGAACTTGACGCAGCGCACTGGAACCTCCGCAACCTCAAATGTCTTTACGAGTGCTCCAGTCTCGTGGTTGTAGATGTTGACTGAGCCATTGTAGAGACCAGACAACAACCAGGGTTCTGTTGGATGAAAGTCGACGCCCTTGACACGATCTGACCTAGAGAATAGTTTTCGCTGCAGTGGGAGTTCAACGGATCGATAACAAATGAATTTAAATGCCTGGACATACGTTGACTTCAAAAAGCATTATGCCCCTCTAAAACGGCCAGGTATTTAGAAAGAAAGGTGAACGAGAATGATGGGATACGTGGAAACCGTAATTGGAAGTAACGATTACGTCAGCACATTGAAGTTGCAAGTTGAAGTTAACCCAAATGACTTTGAATCAGGCTCAGAAAGGTCAATTCCTACTCCTTGGGCTTCCTTCGATGCAATTTTCACTGTGTATTGTGATTATTCTGGATCTTTGCATGTGCGCACAAGCTCGACCTCGCGACAGCTTGGTTGTTCTAGAATCCAGTGTCCACAGCCCTTGTTTCATTGAACGCAAAGCAAAATTCTGTCAGCGATCGCTCTATCCACGTTTTACCGGCATCCAGACCTTGGGCGCTAAGACTTGGTTCTGTGATGACTGTGGTTGACCGATCACAACCTGAGCAGTGGCGCCAGGTGCAGCTTTCGGTGTCGGCCGCCCAGGCGACGTTGACGGCATCCATGCATACTGGGGCTGCCCAACCACCTGGACAAATCTCCCTCTTTTTCTTTGCGCTCTGATGTCTGTATATATGAAATTCTTGAAGAATTATTTTGGCGTACGAGTATGTAAATTCTCCCAAGCGACGAACTTACATATAATGACTTCACTCTTCGATTCGATTGTACATATGAACAGCGGCACACGCATTGAACTCAGTCTACCTGGGGACTAACTTTGTCACCATCACATCACCTCTCGCTTTGTTATACTCCGCCCTCATCTCACGTTCAAGTTCGTATGCGACATCCTGGTACATACTCGTTTGCACCTTGCACAGCTTGTCAACTGAAATAATTTTCATCTCGTCGCCACCACTTTCGAGCGCAATCCACTCCAGTAACGCTACGTATGGTTCTCGCGTGTTGCCAAAGATATGTGGGTGTCGCCTGGGAAGGGACATAACGTGGCGAGGCAACAGAGGCTTTTCATTAGGGCGGTAAAATCCCAATCGCTGATCCTCTTGCTGATCCTCTTGCTGATCCTCAATCGCCATAGCATATGCGGACCGTTTTGATTGGCCCTGAATCCTTTTGAATACTGGATTCCGTTCAAGGGTTTCCTTCGCTATCGACTTGTAGTCGTAGACACAATTGAGATCGGGGAGGCCATCGTGAAGTCGTTGCGAGAATTTAATATGGTATTTCTCTTCATTGAGGGTCTCGATAGTGGGCCCCTGATCAAGGTGCCCATTATCGATAGATGTCGAAGCAGATGGGCTGGAGTCCGGGTCCAGGTCTGCGGTATCAAGTGGCAATACAAGGTAGCGTGACATTGGAGGTGGAGGTGGAGCCATATTTTTACGTGAGGGTCGAATTGTGTCGGATGAGCCACTTCTTCGAGGGCCCTTACGGCTAACCTGAAGAGCTGGGGGTCCAGTATGGGGAAATGACAGGAAATCAAAGTTGAAATTGTAGTCGTCCGGTTGGTCCCAATAGTCGAGCATGATCAATATGGAGAGGATGCAGGTTGTTGGTGGGGGTTCGAGGGGCAAAAAACTGTGTGACTACAGTTGTTTTAGTTGTTTTACTTATAGTGCAGGAAAGAGAACAAAAGCATTACTAAACAACGGCCTTTCTTGTTCTTAATTTCTTGTTCTTAATTAAATTAAAAGTCCGTCCATGGCTAAAGCTTCTACAAAGGGCCGCCAACCATCAAGATCGGAGATAGTTGGGCCACTGATGATCCAGAGGGCCAATCCTCATGTTATCCACATGTTGTAGTGGTGGGCTTTCGGGCGGACATAAAGGCGTTCGTGTTGTGGCGTGTTCATGCACATAAAGAACGTTCACCTGCGTAGTCTATTGTTGGGTATTGCATTGCTGAGAGATGATGGATGGACGGAACCCCAATCTATCATGAAGCACAAACTTTATGCACACATACAAGCCCACATATCCATCTGCAGAGCATCATCGCCTGAAAGTTCATTTCTCTTGCTGGCTTCTTGGCTCCAGAATGTAAAATGAAACAGGTTGATGACAACTGTGAGGTTCGAACTCACGCCCTTGCGGACTGGATCCTAATTCCAGCGCCTTAGACCACTCGGCCAAGTTGCCATATTTATGCTGAAGGTTAGAGATTTATTGTACTGAATACACTTCCTGGCCATTTATCTCCATCCTCTGGGAAGTCAAGTTGTTGTTTAACGTCGAGGAGATATTGAACGAATAGTCATTGAACTCGCTCACTGACTCTAGATGCCAACTTCCAGTTGTGTTCCTCTCTGTCCGCCCATGCTCTTTAAATGGTAAGGGGGGCTGTCACCCGCATCCTGATTACTCTCAGTATGCCTTCCAAAGCTAAGTTGGCCAGCAAGCTTTCAATTCTCTTCATATTTCATTGTCTGTGTTAAAACACATGGTGCAATCTTAACATCATCAGGGATAGTTTGTCCACAACATATGGATTGGGGCGCTCCAAGGGGGCAAACAGATGAGCACATACATTGCCTATATATACAGCCCATAGATCATAAACCATATAGATCAAACGTGAATAAGACTCATGTTAGACAGGTGTCATTGGGCAAACATTGGAACCACTTGCATGGCCAACCAATATTCCAACAGTTTGATCAATGTCTTTCCAGTTTTCACAAATTGTGACTACTCACTGTAATGTATTCACACAGTGCACATCTGTCCTCTAAATTCAGAGGAATTCTTACTGGTCAACCCCTCCATGTGAGGATGGTCCACCTCTTTTGTGAGAAAACATCTGTTAAAAACTGGTCTTGTCATTTCTAACACAAGTTTCCAATATGTAATTTTGAAAACTTTTGCAAGAAAGATTTAAGAAGATTTTGACATGTTTTGCAACTGTTTCTTTCAAAAAGACTCTCAATTTTTCTGATTGTATTTCTTGAGATATGGCTGAGAGACATTTGAAGTGTTTATCAGCTATGTATTTATCCAGAAACATGAGATGTTTTGATTCATTTTACTTGAAAGAAATACTCACTAGAAAAAAACATTGATTCAGAAAGAATCAAGAAAGACCCACAATCTCTCAATATGTGTCTTGAGAAATACTTTAAGCCCCCTGAGACCAGTGCTTCTTTCAGAAATATTACAAGTATTTCTACATTCAGAAACCCAAAGAAATTATCTCAATAAACACTAAAAAGAAAGACAACAAAGGTTTTTCAAGAAATAGATCAAAACACCTCACATGTGTCTGGTGAATTAGCCAAGAAGCACTGTAAGTGTTTCTCAAGTTGAAAACAGTTGCAAAATATGTTGTTTTTCTTAATTATATATATTAACTGGGTTATAAATGACAAGACCAGTTTGTAACAGGTGTTTTCCCACATAAGAGGTGAACTATCCTGAAGTGCTCCTGCCTATTTTATGTATCTAATCACAATTTTGAGCAACAACTTTCTGAGGCCATTCCAACACTCCATAATCATTTCTCCTTGATAGCTGACCTTATCTGATATATAGCCCTTTCTTCCATATGGATAAGGTTATTAGAAGTGTGAGACAAAAAAGCTCACATTCACATCCATGAAAGGTTGTTATGCTATTATATTAGTTTTCTGCCATGACTCACCTAAGGCATTGAAAGTCTCAGTCATGTGGGACCCTTGTAGGCCCATTATTTGGTTGGTTCCAATAGGCCTGGAAGGGTCACTTCCAAATTGGAACCAATGATTCAGACTGCTCCAAAAATAGACTGCCTCAGATATGGTCTGTACCTTTCTAAAAATAAACTGCCTCTGAATTTTTGGAACCCTGCACTGCCAAAACACCCTCCAAATTGGCAGTTGCAACATTGTGAGACCATATTGGCCATTGTCTGCACTGGTGGTGGTGGAGAGGCCAGGGGGGAAGCAGGGTGTGCATAGGCAGAGATGGTGAACATGTACCATGTCGAACGGCATGAAGGAAGTTCATCAGGAAACTTTATGTAATGAGCTTCTAATACACTTTCTATTAAAAAACAGGAGGTATGCTCAGCCGTAGTGTAGAAACGACTGTATTAGTTGTATACCTATTAAAAAACAGGAGGTATGCTAATATAGCATAAGTAAGTTGTGTCGTAATGTGAGATAAACTTGACGCACCTCAGCCATAGTGTAGAAATGACTGAGGTGCTCCGGAGTCCATGGTTTCCTAGTATGGACTGGTACTGTACAGTACCAATATACTTCCATCTCCCAT